GGATCCTCGCACTTACGGCACTACAGGGAAATTTACAATAAGAAAAAGAGGGCAGCAAAACAAACATCCCTGGATCAGTTTCTCAAAAAGCCATCAAGTGGCCCTAAGTCTCCCCAAAATCTCCCCAAAGATATCCTTCTGATTTCCATGACCCTGATGATATTCCTTCACCTTCTGATTAAATTAAATTTTACGTGATCAGTTACTGTATTCCCGTTTAATTGATTTATATACAGTACACTTTAGAAAACTTTGTACTGTACAGTGTATATCACTTACAGTTGATTTAAATATGGTGTTTATGGTAATTTCTATAAAAAGTTGGGCATCAGGCCCTTGGTCAGGAACATAACCCCCTATTATAACATTGTTTCTATGGGAAAATCAGATTCGACTTGCATTGTTTCGACTTACAGCAGCACCTTTTCCAGGAACGTAACCTGCTGTAAGTGTGAGGACTGCCTGTAAGCCCAGTTCCCTCAGCTTCTTCTCAGAAGTCATGTGCCCCAGCCCCCCAAACCATTTTTGTTGCCCCTCGGCTGGAAAAGTTTCTGAAAAACATGGTTTTGAGAGGTAGGCGAGATGGCTCCTTTTCCCCTTTCTGCGAGCGGCAGAGTCCGGAGCCCAACAGGGACGATGGGTGAAGGTAAGTGAAACTCAGTGACCCCCAGGTGACCTAACCAAGAGGGAACCGAGGTGGCCCGCTGAATCGTGGCGCTCCGCTGAGACAAATGGCAGTTGGCATGCGGCAGGGGTCACCGTGGCAACCAGGACACCAGGTTCTGTGGCAGTTGGGGAGCCCGCGAGGATGCGCCAAGTTGCGCCCGCGAGTTGCGTAAGAAGCTCGGCGCTGGAACCGGGGCACAAAGCACTGGGAAGAGCATGCGCCCATCAGAGGCAGGGGCCGAGCAGGCCAAGCACGAAGAAGAGGTTAGGCCGAGTCAGTTGAATCCGTAAAGAAGAGGATGTGGTTATACATGGGTAAAAGCAGAAGGGGCCGGAGAAGCTGTGAAATACAGCAGCTAGATCCCGAGAGATAAGGGGGATGCTTGCTGATCTGTAAAATAGAAAGCCTGCCATTTGCTGCTGTTGAGTTTTGCTGCTGACCATTTGCCCAGGAGTAGCTAGCCGTGACAGTCTGAAGTCCAGCAGTCTGCTAGAGCTTTCGTAGGCAACAACCTACTTCATAAGATGCTGGAATGACTGTCTGCCCTAGGAGGTATTGGAGGGAGGTATTGATTTGGTGAAAGGCATCAAGAGTAGAGAGAACAAACTGCAGCTGCCTCAGATTGACTACAAAATCAGCAACATTTGCATATATGTTTATAATGCTACAATCAGAATCAGGGTCCCATTGTCCTGGGTGCAGTAGCAAAAATATAGCATAAGGCACTCCCAACATCTTACAGTCAGCTTAAAGAGGAGACTCAAACTGAGGGAAGGTAGTAGAGGGTGTGGTAGAGAGGTATTGAAGCTATGGGAAGAAAAAAATGTGAAATATGAAAAAGAAATCCTTCAAATCTTTCAGATTGAAATCCTTGAAACGTTTAGGCACTTGCTTAACTTTACTGCCAATGAGTAGTTCTATTAACTACTCACTGCAGTGAGGTCGAGACTGTGAGCAAGTTTTTGCAGGATCTGGGCTATATATACATTGACCATGAGACTCAAGAAGACAGCTCACTAAAGGAAAATTACTTGATGCATGTGAAGTTTTATGTCCTGTAGTATTACCTGCAGAGGTAAATGTAACCCTTTATTCAAAGACAGTAAAGTGGAAGTGTTTTTTTCCCTAATTTATTATTTACCTGTCACAAGGTGGGGAAAAAAATACAAATTTATAATTTCTAAAACTTAACCTTTTGGATAACAACAGAGAGAAATGGATAAAAAAAATAAGCACTGAAAGCATACATATTTTGCAAAAGGAACAAGATCTGCTTCATACATTTTAAAAAAATCATATTATTTAACTAAATATTTACAAGTCCTTATCTGAGCCTGCTTCTATTAAATGTTTTCAACAGACTCATGCCATCTCTGAGAACAAGTCTCTGAATATTTACTAGAACAATGTGCGAAAGTGTCTTCTCTTCTATTCTGCAGGTAAGATAAAGGAATACTTAAAATTCAGGACTTTCAACCATTTTTAAGACAAGTGCATCATGCGCATTTTTGCCATATGGCTTTAAATGACATTCTTAGTTAACCCTATAAAATTGCATACAATATTCAATATACAAGAATTCCTTTATATTAGAACTAAATGTTTTTAATGTGCAATGTTAAACTTGTTGTATTTTCCCCTAATAAACCTTGTACTCTGTTATACAGAGGCACCATCTAAGTGGGCCATTTTGCCAAATGTTGGTCTTCTCTTATTAATTGTATTGTATTGATCCTCTAAATATTAACTATAAATATTTTCCCTCAAAAGTAGTTGAAATAATATAATTTCCAGCAATTATTGGTTAAGGCCAGGATATACTGGTGAATATATATGGGACGTGTTGCATGTGTACTTGCAACAGCTGCAAATCATTGGACAGTTGTGTTGTATTAAAGGTAGGATGTGCTAGGGTGGTGTCACACAATCGCTTGCAACAGTTGCAACTCATTGGAAAATACTGGCCTATTAAAGTTAGTACCTGGTAGGAGAGAGAACCCTGGCCTGAAAGGGAACAACTTTACCATGTGTTAAGGGCACTTAACATGTGCTAAACTGGTTGAGCATGCCTCTGCTTGTGTTTTAACTGCACTTAATTAATAAGTATTGTGTTGAATGCGTGACGCCTCCCTAACATGTTAGTAACACACAAAAACATTAGACTTGTTACACTTCAACTAAGTAACAATCTTGCCTGATGATTTGTATGCAAGATTGGCCAATGCCAGATGCTTCAAAGAAAGGTGTAACTTTGCTCCACCTGGTTAAATTGCTTAGTTGTGTAACATTAAAACACAAAAGGAGAAATGTCTTCTTTAAACACATTGATCAATTTATGCTGTTTTACCTAATGAGTATTGATCGTTTTGTTTTCCTAATTACGATACTTCTGCTGCTACCCTTGTTATAAAGAGCCCAGTAGTTCTCCACAGTTAAGGGCAGAAACAACACTGATTCTGATGCTCAGAACTGCAAAAACTACTGTGTATAACTTGGTCTTGAAAAATGATGTTAGCTTGATCTGAAGGCAAGTTTTGGGAGAAAAGCCCATACTTTCCTGAGGTGCAAGCTATTACAATATACTCTGATCTGAAATTTCCTTTCTTTTTTATGGGAGGTTGAGGGTCAGTTTTGTGTGTGTAGCTCAGCGAGTCTTAACCCAGTCCCCTGAGATCTTTTCAAAGGTGCAGTTGTGTTGCCATGCAATGTCAGCACCGTTAGGTTTGTAACCATGGGTGCAGGCAGAAATGCAGCTCTCAGCTGTAACTCAGAACTGTTTCTGCAAAGCAGTCTGTGAACGTTACCCCGGACCAAACAGAAATTCACTGCTGGTTCCAGGGGTGATGGAAATGGAGCTGCGGGCAGGGAGCCTGCAGCCAGGTTTCCATAGCAACAGGCAGGGCTCTGTGCCAGTGCTCCCGTGTTCAGAATGAGGGGGGGAAGGCAGCTAAGGGAGCCCGTTCTTGGGGCTCCCTCACCAGTGCTGAAGGGTGGGGCATGTGAATTGGAGTCCCCCACCTTTGAGGGGCTCCAGTACACCCTGCCCACCCTCTGACTCAACCCCACACTAAACTCCCTCTGCTCCCTTTCCCTCCTCCCATTCTGAAAACAGCCACAGGCTGGGAGTTTGGCAGACACAAATTGCAGAAGATGCTACATTTTGAAATGTCTTCATCTGATACCTCATTGGGTCAGATTTTCACCCGATCGGCCACTTTTCAAGCTGTGCACTTGTGTTTGGTCACAGCTATAAAACGCTTTCTGTGGCCAGAGCAGGCAAAAACCATCACTTCTGTCTGTGACCAAACAGGAGTTGCAGGATAAACCCAGAGATTTTGGATAGGAATCCATAGGGCTAACAACACTCTGGTCTGTGGTAGTCTCTCCCGGTTCTTTGCCACAGCAGCCTCAGTTAGTATTTTCCTGTGAAAGTAAGAGCTGGTGTTCCTGGGGGATGCCCTGAGTCTAAACCGGGTGACAAGATCTAGCTCCAGAAGGTCTAGCTCAAGAACAAGGCTCCTTCTGAAAACCCGTTGGGTTCTCCACGCCACCCCAGGCCCTGGAGCGGCGCTAGCACTGGAGCATAGGGAAGTTAGGCCAAGTATGGACTACTTCATCATGGCTGCTTTGGGGACTAATCTTGCCTTCAGTGGCTACAGCTTCCACTGGGCCTCTTTGATACAGATTTCACCCGAAACAAAAGCAGGTAGGCGCAGCGAAGCTGTCCAGTCTGCGGGCCAGGGGCTGCTGTGTAAGAGCAGCCCTTCTGCAGTTCACAGCCAGCACACCACGGGCGTTCACACACGCACATTGGAGGGGGTGGGGGGTGGATACACACATCGAACAGGAGTTCACACATACCGCCCCCCCCGAACAGGGGGTCTATGCACACACATCAAACGGGCGATACACACACACCTCCACCCCTACAAGGTCATACACACACCTCCCCACATCAGGGGCGTTCACACCCCATGGGGTACATACACGCGGGCCACACTAGCGCCCCCGGGCCGGGACGCGACGCGACGCGACGCCGGCACATCCGGGCGCTGCGGCGCGGGACGCGCATGCGCAACGGCAGCCCCGCCCCGGGGCGCTGCGTTTCCGCGTTGCCAGGCGGGG